GTGAACGTGTTCAATTCTCGTAACGTAACGTTAAAGCCGTGAGAACTCCGTCCATAAATGAGGACAAGAAAATCCTTTATTATTCTTATCACACGAGGCTCATGGTCTCTCCACCTTTCCTTTACCTTGGGCGATCATTTTTTTTCATTTCAATGCAATTTCATCTGCAACAATGAGTGAAATGGTATGCGGTCGATAATCCGCGTTATTGTTGCAACTACCAATTAGTCGAAAGCTAATTTCCCCAACTCTCAGTTAATTGCTTCTTATCTAGAATTACTAGGAATATGCTAACTCGCCCGTTGTAACTAACTGGAGTAACTAACCATTCCCCTGTTGGGAATACGCCACATGTTGAGCGCGAGAAGACTTGGCGAAATAACTCAATTACGGTGAGGCCATTGTTCCGTTTGTTCGCGACGTATTCGTGCTCGCTGCAATTTTTCTTCCTCTTCGGGGCCCGACGCGCGCAGACTAAGCATTGCGAGATTGTTCCCACGGTGTGTCGCGGCGACACGCGACTCATGTCGATTTTCCTGGGAACGTAATCGAAACCACGTTCTATTTGCGATCTACTCAGGGTCGAGAGAAGGCGCCGGAGAAACTGGAGTAGGTGCGTGAAAACATTTTATCTCCGCGGTGGCCGCATGCGGGAGAGTGGACGCGGGCTCTCACAACTGACGAAGTAATAGCTGTGTACAGCTCATTTCCCGAAAAATCGCAACACGGTACACTGTTGAGTTTGGGCTGAAATTCTCTCAGAACAGTTCTTGAAAACATTTAAAATTTGCGAAGACGATAATAAAGAGTGCAAGTGTGTTAAAATTGTCATTTTTTTAATTTGAATACTCTAGAAAAATACTCTATTTGAATACTCTATTTGAATATTCTAAATAATACTCTAGAATACAAAAACCTACCCTAAAATTTTAAATATCAAAAAGTAAATTCTAAACTTGGATAAATTTTCTCCAAAGTATTCCAAAACATTTAAAATTTGCGGAAACAATAATGAAGAGTGCGTTAAAAATTTTTTTAATTTGAATATACAAAATATCCTAGAATACACAAAAAACCCTAGAATTGTAAACATCAAAAAGTTCAATTACGTAAACTCTAAACATGGATAATTTTTCCCCAGCGTATTTCCATTTACTCTATTTATTTAAGAGATCGATGTGCATCGATACATCCGTAACGGATACGATTTCACAACTGCTTCACCGTCTATGTCATACTCGGCATAACTTCCGCAAAAATAATCAAAATTCGATGTCTTTTTTTATCAGCGTAGAAAACATTAAAGAATATAAATTTACTAATATTCTTAGGATTGAACGAGGTTGAAAGCAGTTACAACGAAAAAACAAAACACATGTTTTCAAGAACGATAAAGTTTGAAAAGTTGACCTGAGTAAATTCCCAGGTCCCAGTAAATGCCCAGGTCAACTTTTAAGGTTCTAAGCTTAAACGAAACTTTTGTCCAAAATATTGTTTCATATAAGGTAAAAGTACCAATACCATGTACCTAATCGCATTTTTATTGTTTTAGTCTTTAAATACGAGTATTTAAATTTTTGAAACACAGAATATATGTATATACTCAATACTTACATATATTTTATGTTGAAAATTTAAATATTTATTTAGTTTGCATTGGTACGTTTCATCTTACTTTGTGGTTTCGGGAATATTCGTTGTCGATCAATTGCATCGATTCCGCTTCGAGGGATTATTTCAACCCCTGAGAACAACATACCCGGAACCGTTGCGACTGATGGGCGACATTTGGGAATCTTCCCTTGTTGGCAACGACATCGATATAGAGGCGGCATTAATGAACACGATTTTGTCCCACACATAGAAGAAAAAGAAGAAGAAAAAGAAAGAAGAGGAAGAGACGAAGAGGATGAAAAAACTAACTGGCGGTCGTCTTTACCTCGTTCCATGCGAAACCCATGAAATGCGTGTTGGCCTTGAAAATTCATACACGAGCACGAGAGGAACTAGGAAGAGATCGATGTGCACCGGTACGTCCGTAACGGATACGATCTCACGACTCCTTCACCGTCTATGTCACACTCGTGCACACGCACTCGAAGAGGCACGCGGAGCGCGGCGAGGAACAGCGTGCGCGCGACCAGCGTCTAGACGGGACTGAAGAAGCCAGCACCTTCGATGGACGACGGAACCTTCTACGCTACCTGCGGAGCTGTGAACGGGCCCCCGTTCCTTCGCCATTCCATTCGGAACATTACGGACGTGCCTGCCGCTCCGGCAGGAACTTATATTGTTAGACTCCAGACATAATGTGAGACGTGCAGTACGGCAATTGTGTTGGGAGGTACCCATAAATCTGTACCGTTGTGTCTCTCTTTAGGTCTAACTGAAATCCCAAGCATAAGTGCACTCATTAGTTTCGTAAGGAATCCTGAACGTTCGTGCCAAATGTGTCCAAGAGCACATAATCACCGTATCAGATGTAGAACTCGACGAGTTTCCCGGGGAAACGTGTCTCGAGCGTCTCTTGAGGAGAGCTTCGCATTTTTCTTATACCGTCAGATTCCGGTTTCTCCGTTCTGGGTTCGATTTGAATGTAATTTGAATTTTTTATTCGATTTAATTCGAGTTTAATGTTCATTTAGCTCGATTCCGCTCGAAGCTACGTGCAAGCCGACAGGAATCCGATAAGAACAGTACTCGATGGTCGACGAGTCGACTATCGCCGGAAGACTCCGCAGCCTCGTGGACAATGGAACCTTCTTTCATTCTCCTCTTTAAACCAAAGAGTCCGTACAACCGCGACCGAGGAGAGGCGAGGGAGAAGCCGTCGCGTCTTCGCCGTGAATCGTACACCACCATTAGCTCGATTAAGCGACGATAAGGCGTGATGGGTGGCAATTATATTGCGCGACCAGAGAGTAACTACAACCTTTTAACGTGCAGCCACACGTTCGGCCGCTCGCGTGGCCTTTAAGTTCCTTCGAAATGACGAAGACGCGTATAATGCACAATGCACGTCCGCGCAGGATGTCTTGCAACGCGGCGCCGCGGTACATTGACCCGTTGATATCGCGATATCCGAGCACCTCCTTCGACTAAAAGCGAAACGTCAGAAGATAAACGAAGAGTGTCCGTCGGCCTCGGTCATTCGTAATGGCTTCCTTGAATCGTTACACGCTGCCCGATGAAAGTAAAGATCACCGCCTAAAAAGTAGCAACCGCGTTGTCGCCGCGCGCGCGCGCTCTTCTTGGAGCATGTTCAAATATCTGAAGCGCCTTAAACGGTCCGGTGTCGTAACGCGCATCTCGGAGTCGTTTCACACGATGGTTCATTAACCTTTTATGTGCCGGCACAAGTTCTACATAATTTCATGTTTAATAATGTGACGCAACGGTCCTGTGGTGTGTGTGTGTGTGTTCTTTTGTTCCGCGTGTAAGTCTTCTTATCCGCATGCCACGGTACGTACACAAAAAACTTGCAATACACAGTGGAAGAAAATTGCGTTTTTCATGTGCGTCCTCTCTTTTTCCTGGTTAGTTTTGCTGATTGCTGATCTCAACGTAAATCAAGTCGAGTGCTCACGCTAAAAACTTCTAGGAACTCGACGCTCTGTAAACTTATACCGGAAGTCGCACGATATGATAATCGCGGACACCGGTACGGTCCTCAGGGTGAACCGTTGGATCGTTCACACGACGCATCTGGGAGCAAAGAAAGCACGGGAGAAACGAAATACCTCACCTTCCAGTAAGGTGAAGAAACGGTTATTGATATTACGCGGTGCGTTGAAATTTGCATTGTCAAAGATGAACAAGGCATCATGGAAAAACAACACACGGTGCACACAATCAGAACTATTTAGTTGCGAGCAGCGTAGTTATCTTTGAGTAATGGTAATGCGTACGGCTGACATGACTCAGTTACTTTGACCTGACCCAGTTACATCAACTACATCGGTATAGTTCTGGTTGTGGTAACCAGAAATCGGTTGGGATGACATTTACCATGAGTACACTCTGATTGCAGCAAGCAGCAAGCAGTTGCTGTAACTCACCAATTGTTCTGTAGTTGCAGCAACCGCATGATTAGTTGTTTCATATTTTATCATTGAATCTAATTGGCACTGATTTATGTGTGGGCCAAGCATACTGTCTTTTCCTCAATGAAATATCCGCGGGTAAAGCAGTATGGCTTGCTCACGCCTAAGTCTAGTTGTGCCGGCCAGATTCAATGGTAAAATAACTAATTGTTGTGGTTACTGCAACCACAAAGTAATTGCTGAGTTATCATCGCGTAGCAGCAGTGACAATGTCTCGTTGCTCCAACCAGAGTGTATCCATAGTAAATGTCACCCCAATCGATTTCTGGTTGACACAATCTCATCACGTGCAATTAATCGATGTGATTGATGTACCTAAAGTAAACTGAGTCATATCAATCATGCATAGAAAAACATGCCGCACAGAAAAACACATTTTGGTTCGTGTAACTGAATGAAGACCAGACTGAAAACTAGCTTGAAGTAACTGAGTTGGCCGAATAGAAAAACCTCCCACAGGAGGTTTCCACAATACCATGATGAGGATAAATGTTACTCACAAAGTTATAGCTTTGAGTAATCGAGCGCTCTTCCATTGAATCGATTGAATTTGCTCATATCAATCGCCAATTAAACAGCCTTTAGTTAAATCTGCTAAGTTCAATCGTCAATTGAACGGCTTTTAATTAAGTCTGCTAGATTCAATTGTTAATTGAACGATCTCTGATTCCCTTCTCTCAAATCAATCATCAATTAAACGGTATTTAATCGAATCCATCGAGATCAATTGTCAATTAAACATTCTTCGGCCGATTTTGCTTGAATCAATCGCTAATTAGTTGAATTGAAACATATTTGTCCAAGTCAATTATTAAGTTGGGAAAAACTTCATTAATATTTCCACAACTCTCTGGAGGAAACGGAGGAAGTGCCACCGGACGAGTGATGCATACTCACCGCGTCGTGCTCCGGTGGAGCCAGCTTCCGATTGTTCAAGAGCTTCGACAGCTTCTCGATCTCACGATCCTTGCCTCGCAGTTCGTCCATCTGCAAAAATCCGCAAAGAAAAACTCGTTTGTATCCGGCAACGGCGAAGTCTTCTGACGCGTGGCCGCGTGTGGCGAAAGTTGCAATGTAAAAGATTAATATCGGCAGCCGGCGATCGCGACGAAGAATAGAATACGCGACGATGATGAAGAGGGAGGCTACGGTGATCGGTCCCTTTCGTGGCCGCTTTCGAGAAGCTCTCACCAGAAGTCTCGCTCGTCTCACCTCGCAGTTACGCTCGTCAGGGGCCGGGAGCCTTTTGCCTTCACCTTGTCTGTTCACAGGTGGGATGTAAGAGAAACGCCAAGTCGCCGTACCGCTTCTCTCGTTCGTCGCGCAAACGTTCACACGTCTGTACGTCTGCGTACATTATTTTATTTCGGTTACGAGACCCGCCGCGATTTCTGCGAACGATGAATCATCGCACGGCCACAGGCATTAAATTAGCTATTACCGTAATCGGATTACGATCCGTACGGTGACAATACTTCTCACGGACGTGCGGCGAGTCCAAATTTTTCGGTACGTGGAACAGCGTCCTCGTCATCACACGTCGTTATTTATGGGCAATAGTCGTGCTTGATCTGGCTTCCGGCTTGGTGCCGCGTCCTTCGTGAGTTCGTTTCATTTCGAACAGAGGATTTCCTCAGGAGACTTCTTCAGCAGAGAAACGACCTGACACTCTAGTGAAGAAGTTTGCTGAAGAAGTGAACCAGAATGTTCACGAAAAGTCGAAAAATTCATAGAAATCGTGCTACTAAACCGAAAGTCAGATCAAGTATCTCGCCATCGAGAAGTCTGAAATATCAACTGTGGTATTCGATATATCGAAACTATCCGTGGAAATTATCATGGAGTTGAGGTGAATGTCCTAATGATTGAACTAATAAGAAAGCACGATAGATTTTACATTTTTATGAATAAATAATTAATGGAATTACTGACACAGAATTTATTGATACAAAACTTTAGTATGCCAGTGATCGAAAACCCATCAAGTTTCATTAAAATCGGAGAGGGATATCTCGTACGTTGTTTTCTCCGTGTATTGTTAATGTTCAGTCATTGGGGCATGTTCAATTACCGGGATATTTACGTCAAATACGATTCCATTTGGAAGAATAAACTTCCACCTGCGATATCACCTGTACAACTATGAGTTATCATTGTTTTCCAGCGAATGAAGTTCACGTCTTTCTATTTGATTTGCTCGCCTCCCGCGGCGAGAACCTACCCGACGTTTTCTTTCCTTCTTGTTGCAATTTTCAACAATTGGCTGGCCGCCAAGGGTGCGGTTGCGGCCGTATTAATCCGCGCCGGCAATGCGGTAGACAAATTCGTCGGACGTCACCGCGCGCTTTCGACCGCGATGTGGCATGTTAGGAAGCAGGAAACCACTCTCGCAGACTTCCCAAGCCCGCCGAGCCGATTAAACGCGATTAAGTGACTCGGATTAAATATAGCGTTCGACGACCGAGCCGGACGCGTGGTGTGGCTAGAAAAATTAGAAACGGCCCGGAATAAATTGCCGCGCGCGCGGACGGCGGGAGGACCGTTCGCGCGTCGAGTCGTGTATCATCAGCGAGGCGGCTAATTTATGCGAGTGAAATCAAGTATCTGAAAACAAAGTTGTATGCCAGCCAGAGGCGACTTTCAGCTGTTGTGTAATGCAGGAATGCTTCATTGATCGAAGAAGCTCCGCAGGAGACGATTTCCTGCCGCGGCGATCCACGCGGCCAGAAATTTTGCCGGGCTATTTTGTTGCGAATCAACCATTTCAAGAAGCTGCATCTCGAAAGTAGATCTGACAGAACTCGCAGAAATTTGTAATCCTGCATTCAGCAAATACTCTCCCTCTCCTCTTCCCCTCTTCCTCCATCTCCCGCCAAATCCTATCGTGGGTCCAGACGCGGTTTTCCGTATCCGCTCGCGCGGGAAGACGTCCGGCGACGTTTAAGCGGACGAAATCGCAAAAATTCCGAGGCCCGAGCACGGGCGTGGGAAAACCGTGACCATTTTGGATAATCACACAGCACGAGAACATTCTTTCCTGTCGAGGCTATGCCGAACACGTTCGCCGCGTCGGCAAAACTTTTGTCCGAGAGAGCCGGCAGGCTGAATCGCCGCATCCCGGACATACTCTTTTCTAGTTAGCGCAGGTCGATTCCGCGGGGCACAATTTTTTAATAAGCACCTTCGGAGGGCCTCGTGCTCGATGTTCGTGCTCGTGTTCGGAAAGGAGGATATTGTTACGCGCCTCTGGCAGGCATGCTCTCGATCCGGTCACTCCCGCGGCGCGATTGCATTACAACGCTCGCTAATCTCGTTGCAAGCGACGTCACATTAATCGTAAAATTGTCGAGCGCCATTGAAGCTCTTAATAACCGCGCTCTATTGATACTACTGCGATATCTATATCATATTATGCGTCACTCACCATCCTTGTAGTTTCGCTACGATGCGATTCTCGCAATGCGGAAAGATCAGCTTCGTGATTCCTCTGTTGGTCCCGTATCTCAGAGATACGAGTCTTCTCCGCATTTAGAGCGACCTAAATACAAAAATATCCTCTGTGTAAGTGAGAGATAGAATGAACAGGACGTATAATTTACAGTAAACATAAACATAGCGGACGTAGTACACGATATATTGATATACTGATCGATTACGAAGTAAACAATACTTCCGCGATCGTCACTGCACGAAGGAAAGAAGAGAAAACTCGGTCCATGTAAGTAATTTGCCGTTATCTGGTAAACAGACAAAAACTCGGTTGTAGGAACAAATTCCTGTAGAAGATTTCTAGTCAGTCAATTGTCCTCAATTACTTCAACAGAATTTTAACGCAACCGAATTTTTAGACGAGTGTTTTCCGCCGCGCGATAACAGACATTTCCGGAAAAAAATAATATACGATTATAAAAAAAAATTATGTATGATTATAGACTAAAAGAAAAAAAATAGTTTATCTAACAAAAATTCTAATTGTTTTTGAAGCCAACCGTATTTCTTGTAGTTGAAATAATGATAGTAATTAACATATGAGGTTATTATTATTAACATTATAGTAGAATTTAATATAGAAAAATGGTTTTCTTGACTATAATTTATAGTAATTATTATTCTATGTGGTTATAATTATATCAAATTATACCAAACATTTTTCTTTCAGTGTACTTATAAATTATGTATGATTTTCACCCCTATATATACGTGTGGTCACATATAGAGTCACATATGTTCACGCAAAAAAAATGATGTTGAATGAAAAAAGGAAGAAATAGTTTCATTCAATTAAACGTGAGTATCATGTGCTCCCAGAGGCATCAGTATTTACTTCGATTGTATGTGTATGATAGTAATTTTTTTTCATTTTGAACATATATAATTACGCGTAATTATATGTGGCCATATAAGGACAAAGTTCGTACACAATCTTTCTTTCACAGGTTGTTCCTCGTTAGCGAGTTTTTCATTGCGTTACACGAACTGAGATTTTCTTCCGCGCGCGTCGAAAATCTTGGATATGTCAATGAGTGCGCTTACACGCAATTTTCCTTCGAGTTTCTCGTTTTCGGCACGAAGACTTCGGACTTCCGCTTCCAGGCGACGCGCTTCGCCGCCGGGGGAAGTGCCATCGGCATTGCGAGCCGTATTCGCTCGTGATTTCGCCGATTGCCACTCGAGTCTTCGTATCGTGCTCTCAGCTTCGGCTAAGCGTTTCCTGAGAGTCGACAGTTCGCGTCCGTGATTCTCGTTTTTCACGAGATCCGGTTTAAATGGCAGCGACGACGACGACGGCGACGACGGCGGTGACGGTGACGGTGACGGCGATGCGGAATAAGCGAGTCTGAAGGAAAATGAATTCTGATTTCGCGCGTTTTTTCCCGGATCTTTCTTAGGACATTATATACGATCTCATGATGGAAAATCACCTACGCACAAACCTACACACAAGAAAACAGCTTTCAAGCATCATATACGACAATTCTGTCAAGGAGAGCCAAAGAAAGAAAACTCTCAAGCTGCCTCGAACATTTACAATTGTTTCGCACTGATTAGAACTCATGTCTTAAATATTTAGTCATTCTTCGCTATCACGACACACACGAAAAAAGTGATTGGATCAACCAAATTTCTAGTGAAATATAATAACCAGAAAATTCTGGTTGATGTTTCTAGAATTCTGTTCAAGTTAATCAGAAATCTCGTTAACTTGAACAGAATTCCGATAACTTCAACCGGTTCGTTTTTATTTCACCAAAAATTTGGTTAATCAAGCAGAATGCTCTCTTTTCGGATGCAAAACTTAAAATTCGATGAATTCAGGCTGGAAATAGATCGTCATGAAGTAATAGCCATGGTAGGCCCGCGGAGATTCGTCATAAGTGACTCATAATTCTCGGGATACGTCTACCTGGTCTTCAGCTCGTCTATGATCGGCTGATACTTGGCGGCCTCAGCGCATCTAGCCTCCCTGAGGGCAAAGTCGAACTCCCTCTTGGCAATTTTCGCCGCTCTTCGCTCCTCGTGCAGCTCCGTTCGCACGTTCGCCAGATCCTCGCGCAGGCTTCGAGTTCCCTCCTCGAGCCATTGTATCGTTTTCCGCAATCTGGCCGCGTTATCCCTGCCCGTGGCTGCGCCTGTTCCTGCGGCTTGAACCAGCGCTCTCGCATCCTGCGAGTCTATTGGCAAAGCCTGGTCCTGCTTTCCTTTGCAACGCGACGGGTCCTTCCTGCCCTCCGCACGCTCGGCTTTCCCCCTGCCGCGCGTGTCGCTACAAATTAACGCCAGAATTGCAATCACATAAGATAATATTTCTGGACGATCTCCGATAAATATGTATCACGCGCAATTTTGGATCGGGACAGGAGAATCTGATTAATTCAGGATCGCCGAGGCAATTCTAAATTTACTTTGTAATTTGACTCAAGAGGAAGACGATCTTCTCCTACTTTCTCGGCCACGTTACCATCGATTTTCCAATAGACGATAATAATCGGGCACGGGGAACGTGTTATATATCGTAATGTGCGAAACCTCACTTAAGGTCTCATCGCTATTAATATACTTACACGTCGAAGTTGCACGTTCCGTCGCGCCGCAGTGTCTTCTTAGGAATCTCCACGTTCGTCGTCAATGGTTCTAATCGTCGTCGCTTTCTTGCACCCTCCACAAGTGCGGAAGGGTTAATTCCGTTCGTCGTTGATTTGTTCGTATTCGTCGTCTCGACGGTGTCTCTCTCTGAGGAGCTTGCCATCGTCGCTGGAAACGCGAGTATTTATAAACTCATAAGGACATAACTAAGAAGGTACAAAGAGCATACGCATGTTCGCATCCTTCTCTTTCTAGTATACTTAATCCAACACTACATTGTTAACAAATAACCAGTTAAACAGATGTTAAATACTCAACGGTATATATATTTGTACGAGATACTTTATCTAGAATGCAAATTTGCAAAAATTTACACGCTATTTCACTCAAAATAGCGCGAGAGAATTCCTCCACCTTTCACCCTCCGGCGGCTTTGACGTCGATCCTCCATCTATCATTTAAGAACTATAGTCCTCTTACAGGAAATTGCTCGTGATGCTTGACGCGTCCTACCTTACTATATATTTTTTAATATTTATTATTAGCTTATACTATTATATCAGTTAATAAGGGTTTGTATGAGTTTATACGAGTTTATAAGAATTTATAAGATAAATTGTTAGTTTATAGCAATTTTTATCAATATTTTTCATATTAATTTATATTAGTTTATATTAGTTTTATTAGCTATTCATTTGTATCATATTTATTTATATTATAGGAATTTATAAAATTGATCCGAGACTAAAGAGATTCGAGTTGTTTTGACTTGATGGTAGATAAATAGAAAGGAGGAAAGAGTTAGGACGGAAGCAATGTAAATAGTAAGAGGTAAAAGAGTAGGAGTATGTAGAGTATATGTATGCATGTGAGTGTAGAAACTGGAAGCCATCCAAAATCGAAAGGCGAGGATTAAGAATAAATAATAATAGTAGTACTAAACTACATATAGTAGATTAAACTACATATTATATATATCCGGCGTTATACACGGATTATCGCAAAGTGTCAAGGGGATGGGATAAGGGATGAGGATGAAGCGTCAATGTTTCATGGCCTATATTTTCCGGGGAGCCCTAGAAAGTAACTATGCAAAACTTGATTCAGATCGATGAAAGGCTTTAGGAATTTGTAGGAAACAGACAGCAGACATTTTATTTTATATATAGATTACTTAATGAAGTGGGGCGAATGTTTTGCTCGTTTCAGGCTTGCGCAACCCCTATTGAACGACAGTTGAACGAAACTTACCGTTTTCGTAAGGACGTGAGTACGTCGGCCGATCCGTGGAGCTCGCTTTGGTGTATTATTGCACCGGCTACGGGTACGGCGGCGGATCCTCCTCGCGAGAGACACCGTCGCCAACTAAGAGAGGCCGAGGCCTTAAACTATACCGCGGCCCGCGCTCGCTATATGTGCCCACCAACCAAGTCATCTCGTCTCTTTGGCTTTATTTAGCAGCCTCCTCTCGTCTCTTGCCCCCTCACCCTGTATATTGCCCACCCACGCTAAGTTTGGCCGACTGGCTATTCGCGTCCGCTTTTATCCGCATGGGTTTTACGTCCAAATCATTCTCGACGACGTACTCGGTCCATTTCAGCTTTACTTGGAGAAAAATCTTCCCTTTCTCCTTTCTTATGTTATGAGCTAATCGCACGATGTGCAGGCAATCGGGAACGACCATTCGTTGCGACTCATCAAGGGTTCCTATCATAGATGGAGGTGTTGAAGTCACATGAGGTCGTCTTGAACTTTTTTTAATAAAACAACCATTTTTATACTCTTATATTCTTATAGTCGATGTCGAGAGAATCCTAAAATGTCTAAACCTTTCTATTAAGAGCAGTTATAAATTTGGAGAAGTTGTGATACCGTTGAAATTAGCATTGCCCAAAATGCACCAAGTAGATATTGAGCTATCGAATCTATATTCTTTTGCTTATGTGTGTCACGACGTTGCCAAGTAAAAAAATAAATAAATCGCATATATATATATATATATATATATATATATATATATATATAAGTCTTTATATATTTTTTGTCGCGAAATTGTCGTTAAAGAGCGGCGCCTTTGAGGATAAGCAGGTGGATCTATATTTACTATCCGATACCGCTGATAAGGGATTAGAAAGGGGATGTGGATCGGCCGTTAGCTCGTGGCGAAAGGCGTCGGAGTCGTGTGGGGCGGGTGCGTCGAAACTCCGAGACTCGAGAAGAACCCCTATCGATCGATAGCGACGCCTGTGCAGTGAGCGAGCCCGAACCACGATCGACGACCGTAAAGCCCGGGGGAAACAATCGCATCATCGTCCTTTCGACGTAGCTTGCGCTCGGCGTTGTGTGCGACAAAACGTGTTGCCAGTGTCGCTCTCGTTATTCCGTTCCGTGTGTGTTCTCGCCCAGTGACTCCGTGATCCGCATCCTCCTCGTTTCGTTCTCTCCTCGACTCGCCGTGCGAAGAACCGCACGGCCCGCCTTGGACACGCCGTTCCAGCTGCAACTGGCGACAGCGCCAACGGAAACCTGCGATGTCATGTGGCTGAGGGGATGCGACACAGTAGATGGACACATCGGCAGAGCGGTGAATATTCGTGAATATTTATATGCGAGCACGCACTGAGATCTCGGCCCGAGACTCGTCATCGACGACGGCAGCCACCGTCGGTGAGCGCGAATTCGCGCGAGAACGCTCGCTATTATAATTCCGTAGAGGAAGCGAAATTCTCACCGACACAATTTCACACCAACTGACTGACTGGACGCCTGTGCTCTCCGCAGTCAAATTTAATTAGTGCGACTCGCGCAACGCACTGTCGAGATCGCGTATAATAATTAATAATGTCGATGGGGAACACGCACGCGGAGTCTACGGAAAACCGAATTAAAGAGTCGTATAACGCAGCCGTTATTATTTCTGTCGGCGACGAAGAATTTGCAGGAAAATTAATTAATCGTTATCGTGATGATTAACTCTAATATGGAAACGTTGATTTGCAACTCCACGATATATCGTGGAATGCGAGCTAACGAAATCGACATTTTTTATTTTCTAACATTGGCCGTGTAATTGAGGAGTCATATTCGCGCGTGCAATTTCAACGAATTGTTCTGCAACGTGAGAAATAATGAAGAGCGAATTGTTGTGAAATGTAGCGCACAAGCGGGGCATAGATGTGACGCATACACCTATAGCGCAGTACATGCAGTCGCATAAGTACAGTACGTTGTTTACGTGTCATGTCATAAAAATATGATGGACATGCATAAAACCAAAAAGTCAAAATCCCGACATTTCAGAGAAGTGGGACAATGTCCTGGAGAATCACAGCCCCTGAATACAGGGACAATCTCCCGAAATATTTCAAGCATAAAGTTGTCCCACAAAATTGCATGACAAGTTGTTGACAACTTCATACTTTCAATATCTCGGAGAATTGGCATTTCGGTCATTGTATATTCAGTTTTCGGAATTGTGACTCTCCAGGACGTTGTCCCACTTTTAGAATTTCGGTACTTTGTTTACGGGATTGTCCACCTGATATCAAAGTGTTTTCGAATTAAATAAATCAGTGTTATTTGGCGCCTAAATGTGAATCTGGTGATGAATTTTGATCGAATCTTTTTAGCTTTTGCACTTGCAAATATTATTGCGTTTCCGTTCATCAAATGAACTTTCCTTTTTTTTTAATTTAATATTGCAAAATTACAAAAAATATCGAGAACATATGTTTTTCAATCTGAAAATAGCAATTTTTTTAATGAAACCTTATAAGAACGTAGAGTACATAAGAATGTAAAAATGCATCGTTCCCGATATATTTGTAATTAAAATTAGCTATGGGGAAAGTCTTAGAAATTACGAAACACATTTCAACGTAACTCATTCGAAGCGAGTTAAAAGACACTCGAACCGAGAAAGTCGATGCCTGGTGGACACGTGGATCGAAATGTCAATCTTGAGGAAACGTTCTTGAACTTTGACTCCAGAGCGTACACATAGTTGCTCATACGTAGCCACCTATGTCGATAGGACGGTCTCTAGCATCAGTCGCGGTAGTTCGCTATTAGCTAACTCCAAGTTAAAGCCAGTTTCCTTCTTAGAATCGCACGTACAAAATATAGACGAAAGAAAAAAGTTCATCCAGATAGCGGTTTATCTATACGATCAGTCATGTTCGTTTCTTGCAGGTTTAATACGGATATAAAACGACAATCGCTCGAAAAACATCTTCAGCGACGATTCTAAGGCCGCATGCGTGCGTGATATAAGTGGTGGACACAAGCGCTTGGCTTTGCTTAGGATCGTAGAGACCGCTGCGTGGAATTAAGTGTGGATGATAATTACTGGGAAGGAGATAAGTGGCGAGAGACGAGCCGCCACGCACGACGTCGGCACTTGATTGCGAGATCCTCCGTCAGCCGTACGTCCCGATCGTGTGAATCGTACAGTGGGAAATTCTTTTCAACCTGATCATCATCAATAATACGCGATAATGTAGCAGCGTTACGTCTCAATCATCAAGGCGATTCGGGGAGCAGGAAGATTGTCAGGTGCTCAGATGTAATCGACAAGTGACACGTAAGAATTAATGAAGTCTGAAAAACATGAAAAACACAACGGTGATTGCACATCGAGTAGTAGACTAGACGTCAATGAAGGTCTCGATATCAATCAGACAGGTTTTGTTCCAATTAAAGCAATGCATATTATAAAGAATGCGCATAATTTTATGCGTCGTAATAGAGCACGACTGCAATAACAGGATAGAGACTTTGACTAATAATCTACTGATGATCGAGAAAACGTCCGATTAGAAATTAATTTTTTATCCCAACCACTACGCGCACTCTTATCTTCAAGCTGTCTCGTGTGTGTCACATGTAGTCGTCACACTGGCAACGTGGAACGAGCTCTCAGATGTCCAGTGTAACGTAGACTCGCCGCTACGCCAATTTCTGGGAGAAATTGGAACGGTCGAAAGCAGCGAGCGGAAAATGTCCGAGAGCGAGACGAAGCCGGCCTCGCCGATACCTACGGTCACGTGCGCGCAATGCTGTGCCAGCGGCGGTCTAGCTACCTCGCAGTGTCCAACTCTGCAGGTGACCTCGCGGATGCTGCGCTCGCCGAGCCACGAGAGCGTCACCACCGATCTGTCGCTCTTCAGCGTGTCGTCGATCGCGAGCGAGCTGCGCGGTGCCAATAGACTGGTCACTTTCAAGTCCTACAGCGACGTGCAGCTCACCGGACGAGGACCATCCCCGAAACCCGACTCCTCTCGGCAAATCCAGGGTAACAGGTCCGTGTTGGATGCTTTTGTGTCTTACTCTTTTGCGCAATGTAACTACAGTACAAACAGAACATTTCGTAATGACTCGTAATTTCTCGCCATCTTGCTCCTTCGAATTAAAAGCCGTTCGAACAAAACTCCCCCTTGATCGACTCGACCTTGGGTCAGTCTGTTGACTTTCTTCTAGCCATTAAGATACAACGCGTTCTAGGCCAGCGGACATCCCTGAGATCCTATGGTTCGAAGAGGAGAACGAGCTGATCCGCAGCTGCGGCGTTCTGTCGTCGGCGTTGGGATTACGTAAGAGCTTCAGTACGAGCGACGTGTCGCAGCTTCCCAGCCCGGACGCATCTGGACCCGGGGGTGGTCTTCGAACGGCAGTGTCCGCCTTGGCTCTCGACACCGCCCAGCGCAACACTCTGCTGCTGGAGCACGCGAGACTCGACCACGCTTCAAGATCGTGCAGCACCTGGGTCGCGGTGGGCGAACCCGTTGCCAGCACGTCTCAGCTACCCAGTCCGCACGGTGGAACCGCGCAAGAGCCACAGCCGCAGCCACAGCAACCGCAGCCACAGCAGCAACAGCAACCGCAGCAGCAGCAGTCGCAGCTACTGCTGCTGCAACAGCAACCGCAACAATCCTCCTGTTCGAGCACTCAACCGATGCCGCAACAACCACCGCCACAACCCCCGGCACCGCCACCACCACCTGTGCCGTTCACCGGAGCGGACCTTGTCCGCTCCGTCAACAAAAAAGTCCGACAGAACTACATACGACGAAGGTCAGTGTTTCTATTATCAGTCAATCAATTATCGTACGATCTTAAGGCTCCAGGCCACTCGGAACTCTTGACTGACGTTAAAAGCGAGGAAAATGCACGTAATCCAAAACTCCTGCAAAGTACGTCGAAAGAAAAAGATATATCTAAAAAATGATACTTGCAATCGATTAAACACGCTTGTAACTACTACGAACATTTTCCTTTCGCTCTAACAATCAATAAATAATCATAAGATTAACGTGCAATCTGCTTTTTTAACCTACATTTTCTCCATATTTTGTCACGTTAATTTTACGGTTTTATTGATTATCAAAGCAAACAGAAAATATTTGGAATATTTTAGAGATATATTTAATCAATCGCAAGTGTCATTTTTTAGATATATCCTTTTATTTCGACGTACTTTGCAAAAATTTTGAGCATGCATTTCCTCGCTTCTGAAATCAAGATGGCCGCGGCGAAGAGCCTTAACTGAAATATCCATTGGAAACTGACATCTTTTCCCTTACACGGAGAAAATATTGTAGTGAAAATTACAACAAAATTTTCATAAAATCTCTATCATACATAATTATGAAATTATTATTATTTTAATTAATAGTAATTGCTATTACCATTACATATTTGTTTAAAAATATCATGCACGTTTGACTTTTTTTTACAAAATTATGGTGATTACTTGAATGTTTTTTTTTTTATATTTAAAAATTCGAGCAATACTATCGATCCTACTAATTGCACTCTTCAGATTTCAACTCAGAATAAATACGCTGATAAAAGGTGATTCGCCCGTATATTCCATCAGATTGCTGACCACGTACCGCGCTTTGGAGCGCCTCTCGCAGAGCGAATTTAACCTGGACCAGCTGGAGGCGGCGGCTACCGCGGCGCAGACCTCACATGGAGCCACTTTGCTCGTTCCTGGAACGGCCGCAGGAGTGCCCGGTGCTTCCTTGATCGGACGGAAGGAGCGGAATCACGCGTTGACAGTCCGCGACGTCGAGAGGGAACGTGGGAATCAGTTGTCCAAGTACGAGAGGAACATGATGATCTTTAACTGGCTGCACACTCTCGACGACAGCGCGGTCGTAGACAGCGTCGAATAAAGGACGAAGAGAAACAACGTTTTCTCCCGACTCCGACAATGTGCGCGACCTATTGTGCCTAAGTCTCCCTTTCTCTGCGCAATACCACTCTAACGAGGACGTTTCATCGATACGGACTCCACTATCGATACCACTCTTTGTACACATCTTGGACGATACCGCGCTAAGGCTGAAGGCTTCTGGTCCCAGGTATATCCGATTGCGTCGTAGGGAGCTAAGGATTATGCGGATTCTTGTCTCGTGCGCGCGCGCGCGCGCGCTGTACATCGAGACAAACAATCTTCTTCTTCTCACGCGCCATCATCTGTATTTAACAGGATAGACTTTAATTCAACGTGGTATCTTACAAGGTACAAGACGCAATTTGTTTCGCACGTGCGAAAAGAGTGGAAGATTTCTCGATCTGACCTGAATATACAGAGTTCGCGTTTCCACCGCATAACTTCTCGACGACAGATTCCCTAATCCACATAAGTTGGTAGAAATATCGAAATGTCATTGTTCCCCTGATATCATTGTTCCAGTTTGATCGCGGTGAAAAGCCAGGAGCCATAAGCTGAGATAACTCTCGCGAGACATCCGTCCCTTCTCGTCCAGCGATATCGGCTAGTGTCGCTTTGTAATGAGCGTCCAAAGCATTTTTGTGTAAAGCGGATTTACCTACTTCGCCGGCTACGCGCGTAGCCTAAGAAAATACGTACGCTTCAAGATACAGACTCTTAGGAGCAAACTGAAGAAACTGAGGAATCACGCGGCCTGGAATCACCACCGACGCAATGATACATTTGCATGTGTATTATACCTCTCGAACGCTAGCGACAACCTCTGATTCGTAGGGATCCTTCATTCATATTAACAATTGATTGGCTAAGTTGAGAAAATGATGTTTGGAAATGTTTCTACGATATGATATTGCATCATGATATTTTCACCGGAAGATTTCATATGAGTAGAACTCTTCTAGAGCTCAATAATCGCAGATTCGGTTGCCAAGGAGTTTGATAGTGTAAATCTAGCCGCTAATCTTAATTCTCGATAATTGAACAGATTCAATATACAATTCTGTAATGAGGCTCGTATTAAGAAAGCGACATATAAACTAAAAAAAGAGCAAATATATATATATATATATATATATATATATATATATATATATATATATATATATATATATATATATCTTATGTATTAAGTACTCGGACACATATCGATGAGAAATTTTTATTCGATGTCAAGACAGAAACTGATGGATCGAGAGGTAGAGAGTGTTGTTGCTTTCCACGATCAAATTTTAATGTTAATTGTAGATGGAAAAAGTGCAAGACAATGTAAGAGAGAAGAACAGAGCTAGGGATGCTCTTTATACTCTTTATACTCTCGTATTTTCCTTACAACATGCAAATAATGTTTATATCCAGACAGCACAGATTTCCGCAGGACATCCTAAAGACATTCTGAGAACGTCGCCAGGACATACCCTGAAGACCTTGTACTGTTTGGATATGTAGCAGTCTCTTTTTCATTTCTATGCTTACGATGTTCACACAATATTTTTTCGATTTAATTGGAACTATCCTCTTAATACTTTAATTAAACGCATTTTACATGTGCACTTCCTGCCTACAATTAGCATTAACGATACATGAGTCTTATGTAAAGATCAGCGATGCGAGATGTAATCTGAAGAGCTCTACTTGTGAAATATAAATGTGGCGACGATCTGTTGACGCGCGATTCAACGTCCCATATGAAAAAAAAAAAAAAAAAATATA